AGAGAGAGGTTCCCTGTGATGGCATTGTCTGGTGTCTGGGTTCCCTGCCTGCCGGGGCGGCAGAGCACAGTGCTGGGATGACCTGATGTCCTGTAATCCTTCCACTGCCACAGTTGGCCTCAGAGGCTGTTTGAGCAGATGCAATTTAAGCTAAAAAAAAAAGGCAGCTCAGATGTGCATGACAAAGACTAACCTGGCACAGACCTGGAAGTAACAAACTGCCTTAAAATTGCACCTACGTGAAGAGTTTGTGGGCTGCAATCCTTGCCTTTTCTCTTAAGCATCAACATGAAAGAGATCTGAGGGACGGATGAACTTGAAGCTTCCCCTCCTAATTTGTGATGCGCCTCTCCTCTTCTTCTAATAAAATATGTCTGGGAATGCTTTGGAGGCTACTTCTGCATAGCTGTTGCCACACCTGTTGGGAAGGGGAAATTCCTTGTAGTCTGCCATTGAGGAGCAGCCCGGGGGAGCGCTGCTGCTGGAATGTTTTATTGATGACAAAGCCGGCAAAAAAAAAAACCCAACTTCCTTTCCATGAAAATTGAATTATTTGTTTGTTCACTTTTGAATTTGGTCTCTGTGGGTCAGACCTGCAGCTGTGGTAAATTAGCTCAGCTCCAGATGTGCCCTATATATTTTGAGATGTCATGTCCCTGTATCTGTATGTAATTCTGTGGATCTTCCCGCTACCCCGGTTTTGGCACTATTTCAGCTTTTGATCTGCTTTGTCCCCTCGTTCGTTCTGGGGACAGAGGATACTTTGGGATCCTGGTGGCAGGAGACTGGCATCAAGTCTACTATCTTCACTTGCATAAGATCAATAAGAAAAAAAAAATCTGTGTTCATGGGGTGGTTCATGGGCTCAGTTTTGTCCTTTATACATAGTTTGCGAGATACAGTAGGTGTAAGGGGTAGCTTTGATAATCCAAGAGTCCAACGGTAAGTGCATCTCCTTTAATCTTCCAGTGTTACTGCTGGTCCCAGTGTAGAACCAGGACCAGGGGTTTTGCTTGTAAGAAACTAACTTTGAAAGATTTGCACTTAAGCATGCAGGAAAATAAGGATCCTTGTGTAGTTCTGAAGTTTTTTGGCATTTATAAACTGCACACCTCTGAAGTCACTGAGTGCATAGTGCTGTCAGGACAGGACTGGTTGTGGAGCGGGGTTGACACAGGAGATTTCCAGCATGGGGGTCCATACGGTTTTTCTGAACGTTGCACTACAACTCCAGTTTACTTGCAAGAACTGGAGGCTGTAACCAGACCGTGTGGCGCAAAGGAAGCTTAGTTATGCTATCTTCTGATTAATAAGTATTACTTATCTAGCATCAGGGCTGTGCGTACCACCATCACAACAAAGAACGGCAGTCCTTGCCCTGAGGAGGTAGAGTGCTTCAAGCCATAAAAAATATCTCTGGTTCAACCCTGCCTCCCTCCTTCGTGGCAAGATTTTTTTCGGTGTGTTTTTTGCAGTGTGCGGGATCAGGTCCCCGGAGGAGGCGTGCGCAGTCAGATGCAAATAACGCAAACCAGCGTCCCGTAAAATGCAATAAAAGAAAGATTTGTAAAGAAAACATGCGAGGGCGAGAAAAGGGGGAGGGCGAGGGGAGGGTTTGGGGGGAGGAGGAAAGGCAGTGTCACAGAGAGAGTGTGTGTGTGTATATGCTCAGGAAAGGGGGTCGCTGCCAAGGGGATGTGGGGAGGGGACTCCCGGTGGAAGTCCCTTCGCTGGAGCTGAGCACACCCTTCAAAAAAAAATCTTTCCCTGCGCAGGGGCAGATTGAAGTGGAAAGTGAGACTGTCTTCAAGTTGGCAGCCCTGATTTTGCAGGTAAGCGGCTCTTCGTCCTGCGATTCGGTCAGTTTTCTGCTACTGGTAACTCGGACCTGTTTTAGCTCAGCTGCCCGCTGCCTTTCTGGGTTGTTTGGTTGGGTTTTTTCTACTCCTCTATAAAGACAAAACCATACAGCGTTGTTTATAGTCTCTGCAGTTGGGGCGGAGGGCTAAAAAAGTTGGGAGCTGCTTTTTTTTCCCTTATAGGCAAGTGAGAGAAATGGCTATTTGAGGAATTTTAAATTGAAAGAGGGAAGGAGAGAGGAAAAACTCATGATGGGTAGTCCTTGGCAAGTTTCTGTCCAATTTATCACTTTAAATATATTCTGGACATCTGGGGAGAAAAAAGTATTACACTGTAGCTAAAGTTGCTATATTATGCCAGTGTATCTTTCAGAGCATATGGTTTTGATACCTCTGTTATGTTGAAATAGATTATGTCAGTTTTTCCTCTTCTTAATCGAGGTTTGTTCTACTCAGACTTAAACTCTGGTTATTTACCGCTTTGCCTGAAATACAGCTCTACCTTTGAAATGTTGGGAGTCTTTCCCAGTGACAGTTTCTCAGTGACAAAATGCCACAGCAAAGCTGCAGGGGCTTGATCTGCCTGAACTGTTGTTTTCATCTCGAGTGAGCACAATTCCTCTCAACTGCTGACCTGTTTGTAAAGCCGACCTTTAGCTGGATGTGGTCGGCCGGAGAGAGAATTGTATTTCGCTTCTCGTACAGTAAAAGCGACATTTGATTTGCAATGTGAAATTCATCCCCATTTTGGAAGCGGTTTTATTTATGGTGTAGGTGGATAATCTGCAGCTGGAAGCGTAAAAGGGCCAAGTTCTGTTCTTGAATATATGCGGGCAGCCTCCGGGCTTTGCACGGGGCGTAGCTGGGGTCAGGATCTGGCCACAGCGCGGTGGGAGTGGGGAAGGGAACAATGCTGGGAAAATCGAGGACTTTTGAAGAGATCATGTTTTAATTCTGTCACTGTTTTTCAATTGTAGGAAGCTAAAGGGGACTATTCCAGGTAATAACATTTTTCCTTTCTAATACTAGTGTGCTTGATGGATGTGTTTTTCTGAGTTGGCATTGTACTGCAAACAATCAAAAATGGGGGTAAAGTCCAGCCATGAGCAGTGGCTGAAGAAAGTGATATGTGCTGCTGGGCTGGATAAAATCTGAGTCTGTGGGGTGAGTAATGCCTTTTGTGAGCAGATTCTGAGTCAAAACAGTTTAGTTTGTGGGTTTTTTTGTTTTTTTTCAAGCCATGCTGCTTTGCTCTGTTCCCCAAACACAGGTGCTGAGGTGGGATGGGGGGAAAGCTCCCACTCCCTCCTACCAGAAAACCTGTGCTTTGCATTGTGGCTCGTGTCCATCTGGGTGACCCTGCCCATACAGTGGCAGCATGTTTGGAGAGACACGGAGCCCGTCAGCTGCCCGTACCGGAGATCAATGAGCCGCTTTCTTCTGCAGCTGCCCCACGGGGCTTCCCCCTCCCCACACTTGACCTGACAGTTGTGTGTTGTAGCTGCTGTGCGACCCGGTTGCTGGGCTTTAGCTGTATGAAACCGCATCATCAGAGTGGTCTTACCCTTGGAAATCACTTTTCACCATGCACTGGTTATGATAACTGCCCACGGGGAGGAGGTGGGGTCGCACTCGGACCTGTAAGACCCAGGGGAAAAGACCTTCAATTAGAAACAGCTCACTAAGCAAATAGAAATTCAGGAGGTTGGCTTTGGTCACGTTAATGTTTTACTCCTTGCTGAGTTTCCATATGGGAAGAGAGCTGTGTTTACGCTTTAGCAACAACGGCTTTCAAGAGCCATGCTTTGAAACTGCTTCATAAAGAGCTGTCCGCTCAAACGCAGGGAGCAAGTCACATCTGACTGCCAAACCTGCAGCAGTGACAGACTCTGCTTTTCCTTCAGTGCGCACTTGTCATGTAAGTGCCAGTGCTGCTGCCCCTTCTTCCCCGAATGCCAGTCCCTCTCCACTGAAGGACACGCTCAGTGCAGTCCATCACAACCTCCTCCTCCTTTTTGTTGGCGTGCTCTCACCCCTGCAGGGAGGAAAAGATGTCCTTGTGACTAAGATCAACTGGATGGGCTGGCTGTACAGACAGCTTGTGTTCCTGGTCATGCTGCAGACCTGCTTTGTGACCCACAGGATATTGCTTATAGTAGCAGCATGCTGCATTTTTCTCAAAGACCTCTCATCTTGCCTGATCTCATAGGGACACCCTAAGCTTTACTCAGTTTAGGCACAGATAACCAGAGAACTGCCGTTCACTTGACAAGAAGTAACTTGTTAAGCAACTGTGGCACGTGATCTCAATTCTCGAGAAAAAGGGTTAAGGTTAAAAACTACCTTTGTGCGGTGAAAGCCTCCCTTATGTGGTTTACACTTAACATGGACTCCTTATCATTTGCCATAAATAGGTTTGTAAGTATTGCTTCACATGCCCAAGAACCGAGTCTGTGGTTTTTTCCATGCCTCTGCAGACACGTTGCAAGGAGTGGATCGCCCGTGGTTACCTTCAGAAGTATTTAAAGAAAATTGGAGGGAAGAATACTGTACTACAAGACTGATTTTTTTTTTTTTTTTTTTTCCCCCCCCCGAGTGTAGCTCTTCCCCTGACAGTTGCGTGAAAATAGCTGCAACAATTGTTTCCTCTATTAAACAAAACATATGTTATGCCTCCGTGGCAAATGAGCACGACCAGCTGTCCCAGGGCAGTGAGCGCACCAGAAGTGAAGGAATTTCATGTTACATATCACAAGTGGTCGTTTGGACCACCACTGATAAAGCGCTAGCCTAATTATCAGGGTATCTCAAAGATACTGCGGGACTGGCCTCCCCTGCCAAACTTGCCGGTGATACAAGGAATACATCCTTGCAGCGGTGCGTCTGTTTGGGTTTGGCGTGTTCCATGTTCGCTGTCGTTTGGCAATTCCACTTTGAATCACTTTCTGGAATGTGGCTCTTGCACCATTTCTGCTTACATGAGAACACACGGGTTAATGTTAATATTTTTTTTTTTATATAGGATTAGTGCTGAATGAATGCAGGTGAATACAGGAATTGCCTGAAGTCCTAGAGATTAGCTTTCTGGAAGTGAAAAATGGGCCAGTCCAGACAACGCTGGGGATCTCTGCTTGGCTGATTTTTCACACATTCCGCAGGGAGCTTTTCTGTGGGGACACATCCCGCGGTGGGGTCACTGTGTGGCGTTCCCGCTGACTTCAGCTGGGAACGGGCAGATCAGTACCAGGGTCCGAACGCTTCAGATTTTCCTACAGCTCTGCAGTAACCCGTTTCCCAACCCACTGCTCAAATTCTCAGATAATGTCTTGATGGCAGAGAGCAGCAATCTCCCGAGAAACTCCCTCCCCTACCCCCGTGCTGAGTGGGTGAGCACATTCTTTTGAAATCTGTTTATTTTCAGTGAGCAAACCTGACGTGTGGGCGCTTGGAGAAAGTAAAAACTTCTGATTTCTCCACCACAAAGGTCACTCTGGAGAGACTTTGCAGTCTGGTAGCACTGACAGCATGAAAATATCAGTGTCTTTGGGGTTTGGCCCTTGCAGGTGGTTTGCAATAGGACCGTGGGGTCCTGGGCTGGGCTGTTAGGAGAAGGGTATGCGCCTTATCATTTGGAGAGAGGCTTTATGTGAGATAAACCACCCAAGTCCCACTTTGAGAGGACCCTGGCTTCTAAGACTTCTTGATAAAACTTAAGTACATGCTTCAAAATTGTACCCACAGTATGTCCGTTGTGTATGTGCCTGTTTTGGACAGCTCTGGTTTCTCAAAGGCAGTCTACAATGACTGCGGGCTGCAGGAGGAATGATTAACGAAGATGACAGCGGACCACGATCGGTGCAGCTCACCGCACACCCAGTTCCTTTTCCTGTTTACCCAACTGGTGATCCCAGCCAAGATACCTACCCACTGTGTGTGATAAAGAGCATGTCGTGGGGATGCTCGGGGAGCCGTTCCTCTCCCCCTTCCACGGGACGGTGTCGGGGCTGCTGCGGGCAGAGCGGTGCTTCCCGAGAATCCCCCAGCTGCCATGTTCCCAGCAAGCCCGAGATGCTGCGGATCCCTGTCCCTCTGCTTTCCTGTGCAACGACCGGGCACGTTTTGCTCGAGAGGAGGGATGTAACGTTTCGCGTTCGCTTTTCACGACTCATCTTTGGCTTCCAGTTAAGCTACTCTCCTTAAACTGAATTTCCACCTGCATTTCTCCAGCTCCTGTAATAAGAACCCAAAGCAAAGTGTTAGTCATTAATAGTAGTTTTGAAACTCTGCATTAGTTAATTGTACTCCTCCGCTCTCGTATTTGCAAATGAAACAGAAAAAGCTGCAAGCCTGTTTTTACAAAATCTTGGTTTTTAAATTCTATGCAAGGGTTTTAGAAAGAGAACTTGATTCTAGTTGCAGCTTCTGGCATGGTTCAGTTTTTTTGGGGAAAAACATCCATGTTCTATTTATTTAGAAATTTTATTTAAATTTTAAAGAAAGCTAATGTCTTGGCAGGCAAGCAAAATAATAGAGCAATCTGGTAATTATTCATCATGTAAATATGCAACATATAAAGGCTTGTCTCCTTGGGAAATAAATGATTTAGCTGTATTTAGTTTACAGATTAAGCATCTGCCCTCAAAAATGCTGTACAATAGTACATACTATTATATTTCTTTGTAGCTTGATGAAAGAGACAGTTTATAACTGAGATGTCCTAGATGCTGTCCTTCTACCATTAGTAAAACATTTATTAAAATCAGATTAGCTGCAGAGACTATATAAGGAAAGTAACTTTTTAAAAAAAAGTTTATTTTCTGACTGATAATCTTGGATCACATTTTCCCCAGTAATGTTTCCAGGACTGAAACCCAGCCGTGCTCCCTGAAACTTAATTAAATTGCTGGAGGAGGGCTTCCATTTTCTTTAAATAGCTGACTCATTTGATTGTGATTCTGGCCTGTGGGCTGCAAAGATAACTCCCGACTGGTATAACATAACACAGACAAAATAATGAATTCCTGATAGCTGACATGTGCGAGGCACCGGGGTTTATCATTACAGGGGTGATAAACACAGTTTGTAAAAGGAAGAGGTTTGTGTGAAAGATACTCCTGCAAACTGCAGCTGTGGAGCAATTGGTTCAGAAACTCCTGAACTTGAAAACTTTACTGAGGGAAAAATAAAGCGCTTGGCCTAGGTGCAGAAAAGTGGTATTAACAATTTGCTCCTAATTAAGAGTGAGTGCTCGGTATGAGATTTTTGGGTAGTGTTTGCTTGGGAAGGTGACTATTTTTCTAGACAAACTGGAAAATCTCTTGGTAGAAAAGAATGTGGAAAGGATAAAGTGGGCAGTGCTAGAAATTAGCTGCTTGAAAGAAGTTAATAGTTGTCTGATAGCAAAGCACCTGTTCACTGTGCTGCTTACCCCAAGGTTAAGGTAGCTTCAGAAACGGGACACACCTGAGGTTTGTTAGTGGCAGCTCGTCCAGCCTGTTTTTGGAAGTCTCCCCAGGTTCATATGACCAAATCTCCAGGTGTGGTCATGTGCAGGACTGGGGTCGGAGCAGAAATGAAGATTTGGACCAAATCTCCCAGTTGTTCCTACTCCCCTCTCCCAGGTGTGCATCCTGGAGAGGTCTCGGGGGGGGGGTTCGGGGTGGGTCCATGTGGCATGAATGGAGCCCGCCTCGCGTGCCAGGCACTCACAGGCACTCGGGCTGTGGGGCCAGGCTAGGGCTGGCCTAAAGAAAGCCCTGAAATGGGTACGGCATGGGTGTCAGGTCTCCAGCACAAACCCTGTTGCTCCACAGACCTGCTCCTCTTAGGCTGTGCTGTTGGGGAAGGAAACCTGTTGTGAACCGTTCACTGGAAGCTCTTTTTGAAAGCCATTGGGATTGTGGATAGGTTACGAGGGGACATCTGCGCTGGTCTCATGTGGTTGCCAAAGACCTGAGCGCACTCTGGATGCTTCTTTCAGCCCCTTAGGGTTTCCTTCCA